GGGTTCGGTGGGAGGTTGTATTGTTGATGTTGTTTTGTTTAAGGAGTTTATAAGCTTTTTTTGATTGCTTGCTTGTGTATTTGTTTGTTTATTTTTGGTGGTTATGTTTTTTTAATTATTTTTTTTAAGTTTTTGTTTTCGTTTGTTTGTCTGTTTGTTTGTTTGTTTGCTAGTTTGTTTGTTGTTTTTGTTGTTTTGTTTTTGTTTTTTGTGGGGAATCTTAATTTTTGCAAGTGTCTTCTTGGGTTTTCAGTCTCTACGGTTTTGTATTGTGTTGCTAACGTGTTCCACATGGTGCGTTGTTCTGTTTGTCATGACCAGGAAGAGGAGCTAGGCAAGGACATCTACGCCAACATCGACCACATCAACAACTCTCTGAGCGAGAAGATCGCCAAACAGCGAGTGGAGGTGCAGAAACTGGCCGGGGACCAGCCCAAACCTATCAACTACGACCCCTTCAACTACGGGGAGGCTTATGGCGGTGATCTAGTGGTCAGTGCTAGACGTACACTTTGTGAATTGGTCGCTCTTAAGGACAAGAGGGCTAACCCAGATTTCGGGGGTTTCCAGCTATCTTGACGTACATCCAAAAGTGGGCATTGCCCTACCTATAGGAGAAGTTTGGTTTCTCTAGTGTGTGTATATTTGTTTGCTTATAGAGACAAATCTCCGCCTTGTATTTTAAAGAAACTGAACAGGGGGCAAAAACTTTACCTTCGATTTTCTCAAAACAGCATTTTTTCGGGAGAGCCCCCTTGTGCTTTTAAAAGCGACCAAATGTCGTCTGGACTGTTTGGGTTTGTTGGTTTTTTAAAGTTCAACAACTTGTCAAGCTTTTTCGAATGCAATTCTTTGAATATCTTGATAACGACTTGTTGTTGTGGCTGTTGTTGTAGTTGTTTTTGTTGTTGTTGCTGTTGCTGTTGTGGTGATGGTGGTGGTGGTGGTGGTGGTGGTTGTGGTTGTTGTTGCTGTTGTTGGTGGTATCGTTTCATCTTCTTGTCTCACCCCAATTGCTTTTCTGGGGATATAAATCTTAATCTGTATAACAAAAATTAAATATATCCTTTAAAAACCCCAACCGTCACGACTACACAGGACTTCCAAGCCCGGAAACGCATCATTGAGCTGAAGCTGCTGCTGCAAGGTTTGCAGACGACCATGACACAGATGAAGGACTCCATCAAGGTCAGCCCCAGCATTGACCTTGGCTACAAGGTCGTCCGGATGGATCAGCTACTCGCCACCACGGGCTTCGACAAGGCTGCAAAGTCCGGTGGTGAGAGAATCTGGCCTGTCTTTGTTGTGGTTGTTGTTGCTGCTGCTGTTGTTGTTGTTGTTGTTGTTGATATTAAAATTGTTTCATATTAAGTCGTACACTGTAATACTGTCTTTTCTAGTTGTGTCTTAATGTGTCGTGTTTAATCTTGTCTAATGTTGCAAATGAATAAACAGATTCTAAGAGTGGTAAAGTCAAGTGCTCTAAGAGTGTTAGTACAGCCATGTTTGTTTTTTGGGAATTATATTCCTGCTAGTTTATTGGAAATAGGAACTAGGAATTAAAGTAAGAACGATAGCAAAATAGTTAACAGTTCGCGCGCTCATATGACCTTATGCAGTTGCGAGCGCCGTAAGACTCTTACTAAAACTAACTGAGTAGAGAAAAAGTTGAGAGCATAAACATAATATGTATGGGCTTTTATATTAAATGAATTAAATTATTTCATTTTTAAAAGGTTTTTTTGGGGGGGAGGGTGGGGAGTGGAGATTGTTTCACCCCAAATTGACAAGGCCAACACGAGCTATGTGGAATTCATTCAAGCCAAACGACAAAGACATAGAGGAACTATCCTAGGTACCCTCACTGCCAGACTGGTTGGTTTTTTTCATAGAATTTTTTTACACATATACATAGTTATTATAGGCATAATACTTTGTTTTACGTACACGCATGTCGATTAATTTTTAAGACGTGATGTCTTTTTCGATGTAATACTCATTGATCATTTTATTTTAGAAAATGGAAAATTCCCAGTATAAATGCTATTTGTTATTATTATTATTATTATTATTATTATTATTATTATTAT